AAGCCGCCCTTTGCACTAGAGAGCTGAAGTTTAGATAATTTCAATCTGGGTTTCCTTTTGCTCCAGATAAATTAACTCACTCCATTTAACTCTTTTATAGCCTCATTGGACAGTAAAACAGGAATAATTTGCATTGAATACAGTAAACGGGGCAGGACATACATTTTTATCAGAGCCACCCTCCCCAGCCAAGACAGAGGGAGAGCCATCCACCTGTTCAAATCATCACGGATGTTTCCTAGCACTGGTGTAAAATTGGATTTGTACAATTGCTTGAAAGTAGGGGTTACATGAATACCCAAATAATCAAAACCATCCTCAGAGCATTTAAAGGGAAAGGAGGGAGACTGATTTGTGGACTTCTTATTACCTAAAAACAGGGCAACTGATTTAGAAAAATTTATCTTGTACCCGGAGAATTGCCCAAACTCCTGAATAAGGTCTACAATTTTTGGCACAGACACCTCTGGATCTGAAAGAAAGAGCAGCACATCGTCCGCATATAAAGAGATTTTGTGCTGCCTACCACCCAGAGACACCCCAGACACAGCCGCTTCCTCTCTTATCATCTTAGCAAATGGCTCTATTGCTATTGCAAAAAGCAATGGAGAGAGGGGGCAGCCCTGTCTGGTACCCCGAAATAAAGGAAAATTGTCAGATCTGTGACCATTAGTAATGACCACAGCAAGAGGATCCGTATAGAGTATTCGCACCCGCTTTATAAAGTATTCTCCAAGGCCAAATTTTTCTAAGGTGTAAAATAAATAAGGCCACTCAACAGAATCAAATGCTTTCTCTGCATCTAGAGACAAAATAAGATAATTAAAACTAAAATTATGGGAAAGCTCAATAATATTTAGTAGCCGCCTAATAAGGTGTAAAATAAATAAGGCCACTCAACAGAATCAAAAGCTTTCTCTGCATCTAGAGACAAAATAAGAGAATTAAAACTCAAATTATGGGAAAGCTCAATAATATTTAGTAGCCGCCTAACATTGTGAGCGGAACTTCTGCCTTTAATAAACCCTGTCTGGTCTTCATTAATAATAAACGGTAGAACCTTCTCCAATCTTAGTGCTAAAATTTTAGATAACAATTTTAAATCAGAGTTTAACAATGCAATGGGCCTATAGGAACTGCAATTTTCTGGGTCCTTGCCTTTTTTAAATATAAGATAAATATTTGCTTCACGAAGTGAAGAGGGTAGACTATCGGTCATAAATGAACGATTAAGCATGGCTAAGAGAGGGTCTAACAGTACGTGCTCAAATTCTTTATACAGTTCACATGCAAGGCCATCCGGCCCAGATGATTTACCAGATTTTAAACTATGGAGTGCGATTATAGCTTCTTCTCTTGTGATAGGAGCATTGAGAAATTCCCTCTGTTCCTCAGAGACAACAGGAAGAGTCAAGCGATCAAAGAATGATACCATAGAATTATGCCAAAGAATAATTAGACTGATATAGCATAGAATAAAATTGTTTAAACTTATTATTTATAATATAATAATCAAAAGACTGCACTCCCTTAAGATCGACTATAGAAGTAATGAATTGTGAATACAATTTCGATTTTGTCAAGTGGGTTAGGTATTTACTAGGTTTATTACCCCATTCGTACAACTTCTGCTTTGAGAATAAAATATTTGAGTGAGACTGTTGAGTTAGCAATGAGTTTAAAGAGGCCCGCACGGTACTTATTTTTTTCTAAGGAAGCAGGTGAGGGCCGTTCAGATAGCTATCAGTGGCAGTATTTAACGCTGACTCTAGCGGTTTTTGTTTTTCTAATTGTTCCTTTTTTTTAGCAGTGAGATATGGAATAGAGTACCGATGTACGCTTTACAGGTCTCCCAGAGAAGTGAGGGATTATCTATGGATGCTGAATTAATAGAAAAAAAATATCTTAAACTCTGAATTAAAGTATGAGAGAAATGTATCATCTTTGAGCAACAGAGTATTGAGTCTCCAATGTCTAGCTGGTCTTATAAACCCCTTCACACAAACATCTAGTATGACTATAGCATGATCAGAAATAATGATATCTCCTATGAAACTGTTAGAAATTGTTTGCATCAGAGCCTTAGGAACAAAAAAGTAATCAATCCTAGAATGAGAATTATGAGGATTAGAGAAAAAAAAGTGAAGAGTACGCCAAACATCCATAAATCTTAATTCCTTACAAAGTGCAGAGAGAGCTTTAGATTGTTTGGTGATGATAGAATTCCTGGGGTGGAATCTGTTCAGTAAAGAATTTTATAAACAGTTAAAATCCCCTCCGATAATAGCCAATCCAGACGCATTCTCTTTAAACTCAAAAAAAGCTTTTGAAAGAAGTTCTGAGGAGTAATTTGGGGGACAATATAAATTTAAAAGGGAGATCTCCTCTCAATTCAAAGTTCCCTTAATAATAATATATCTTCCAAATCTATCCTTAATATTATCTGTAACCCTAAAAGGTATCTTTTTATTAATTACAATAGCTACACCTCTGCTGCTTTTTGTAAAAGATGATAAATGAATCTGACCAATCCATTTATGTTTTAGATTCAAATGCTCACTATCACTCAGGTGAGTTTCTTGTATCAAAGCAATATCTATATTCTCCTTACAGAGTTGTGTAAAAACTTTCCGTATCTTTATTTGCCCATGTAGACCCCTTACGTTCCAAGTGCAAAGTCTTAAGTTACTGACAGCCAAAACGTACACCAAATAGTGAATGAATCAGGTAGTGCTCTCCCCCCGTCAAACATCTTTATGATCAACACCCTGTCATTGCATTTAAAAAGCAGCTGTGTGTGTCTTAAGGTATAAAAGTGAACAAAAACACATATCAGAACAAGCCAAACTGGCAACATGGAAAAAATAAGAAAAAGTACAACAGAATAAAAAAAGAAAAAAAAGAAAAGAAAAACAAAATCAGGGACAGTTCCCCTTATCTCTTAGGGGACAGATCCTCACCTCGAAGTCCAACCTCTCACTGTACCTCCAGTGCTCAGAAGAAATAGACACCCATGATAAGTATCTTAAGAACCACCCACACGGAATACAAACGAAAGTTATAAAACCAACCCCTCATCACTCAATATAAAGGAACAATAATAATAATAATAGAGTACTCAAGCCTTGATTCGTATAGCTACATATAAAAGTACAGGCATATTGACACTATTTTCCTAATTAATGCTGTTCAGTTGCTTTGACACAATCTGTATTGTTAAAAGCGCTATATAAATAAAGGTGACTTGACAGAACCTGAAAGCAATTTAGTTCAGCACCTGCCTATCATATGGCAGCAAGAAGATCAAGTATTGGAGCTCGATCCATTCTTGTCCAAATACTGTGAAACTGCAGCCACCATCTCGAAGACTTTAGAAGTGCTTCCAATAATCACCCGTAGCTTGGCCGGATACAGCATCGCGTAGCGGGCGCCCATCTCTCGAAGTCGCTGTTTAACTGCGTTGAATTCTTTACGCCTGTGTATCACTGAGGTGGAGAAATCCTGGTAAAATGACACCTTGTTGTCATCGTACCGCAAATCTCCATCCCCCGACAGTCTCCTGCTGGCATCGAGAACCCTCTGCTTGTCTCCGTAGTTATGGAACCGAACAATTAGCGGCCACGGTCTGTCCTTAGCACCCGGTTTTGGAGCCAACGAACGATGCGCCCTCTCAATCTTAATGCGACCGCCCTTAGCATGCAAGTTTAGAAATTCGGGGAGTCACGTCTGGAGAAAGACAACAGTATCAACATCAGTACCCTCCACCTCTTCACGAAGGCCTAGAATTCGAATGTTTTTACGCCGGCCTGTTTTCCAAATCATTGATGTGTTAATTTAGCACAGCGACTTGTTTTTCAAGGGTGCATACGCGAGCTTGCGCATCCTCCGAAGATGCCTCCGCCGCCATTATTCTCCATTCCGCCTCGGCTAGCCAATTAGTTGCGCTCTCTAATTGTTGAGTGTGGTTATGCACAGTTTCTGCTAGCGGGCCCAGTTTCTCGTCTATTGCGCTGGAAATTTTCTCAGTCATAATTTCAAGTGCTTTTGCAAGTGCCAGGCTAAGTTCCGGTTCACTGTTAGCATCACTCGAGCTATGCTCGGGCTCCTCGGCCGCTGTGTCCGCGGTCGGATCCATTTTCCAGTTTTCTTAGCAGGTCTTGGCATCTTTGGCAAAGATTGCGACCAAAAAGTCTCTAGGGACATGCTACACAAGATTTGTAACCGAAATCAATGGCTTGCGTTCTTTATTTACGAGTTAGGGAGGGAAAACGAGTAAGTGGCACAAGAGCCTCTAAAAAACACTTCCGCCTCCAAGCCGCCATCTTGCGCGCCCCCCTTGAAATGATTGTTAAGGCATGACAATTGTTTATAAATGTTATTTAATCATTCATTAATGTAAGATTCTTTTTGTATTCTGTTCTAGAACCACAACCTTTTTTCATCAGTAAAAGCTTAAATGAGATTCTGGAGTCTGGGGTGAATTCTTCAAGTAAGATGTCAAAACAGTTCTGACCAACTGTCAGCAGGGGTTCGAATCCACCCGAATCAGTGCTAAAATTTAAAACCTCATTTACACATAGGATTTCAGAAAAAGCTGAAAATAAGAGGAAAATAAACTCTTACAAAGAGATGGGCAGGTGAAGGAGTATTAATCAAACTAGCAGAAGCAACTGAAGCTCCAGTAAATGTTTGGTGGCCAAAAACAGGAGCAAGAGCTCATGATGTGATGAAGATGAATGAAATGAACTTCATCTTCAGTCATGTGTGTTGAGATTTAGTGTCTAGTCAGAATTTACATTAAAGGACACATCTTACAGAGGACAGACACATGAGACTATCAGAGAGATGATCTTACCGCAGTATCTCCAGTTTACAGTGAGGATCCTCCAGTCCAGCACAGAGACGCTTCACACCCAAATCTCCTAGTTTATTCACAGACAGATTCAGTTGTCTCAGGTGTGAGGGGTTTGATCTCAGAGCTGAAGCCAGAGCAGCACAACCTTCATCTGTGACGCCACAATCACTCAACCTGTAGAGAACAATGACACACTCTTCACTCTCTCAGATCAGTAGATCATTAGCTGTGAATCCATTAGTAAAGAGAAAGTACAAATCAATGTATGATGTATCATTGGACTGAGATTTAAAATGTCAAAGAAAAAAAAACATCATAAATCATTTAAAGCCTTATTCAAGAAAAATAAATAATTTATAAATAACAATAATTGTGGTTGATTCACAGCCCATCTGATCAACCACATACAATTTCAATTATATACATGTTAGACATATTATTTCCATGTTTTTAATATTTTCTTATTTTTTCTTTAATATAAACACCTCTCTGAGCTCATATACAATGGAATAAATGAGAAGAAATGCAGATTTGTACTCTGGTTGGTCGCCTCAAAAGCCCACTGTCCTTACTCTCCCACTTATCTGACTGGTTTCTTTAGTAATTTGGTCTGCTATCAGTCTTTGCTAACAAGACAGGCTATTAGCACTTAGTGTAAACAGACAATCAGTTTAAAGATGTTGCTAATGCAGAAACAGGTTTAACATGAACAGACGTCCACACATGAACATGAAACAAAGTCACACAATGTTTTACTTTCTGTATCTCTGTATCTTGATTAACAGCTGTCTCATCCAATCAGTAGTAAGTATTCCATTCACAAACAATACCAAATTTTTTCATTTTGTCTGACTTATAGTTTTCAGACTTTTTTGGGTGATTTGTTTTTCACTTCACAAATATTTAACAGTGTGTCATATATAATCTTACCACAGTTTCTCCAGTTTACAGTCAGGATTTTGTAGTACATCAGAGAGCAGATTCACTGAATCTCCTAGTTTATTTAGAGACAGATTCAGTTCTCTCAGGTGTGAGGGGTTTGATCTCAAAGCTGAAGCCAGAGCAGCACAACCTTCATCTGTGACGCCACAATCCCTCAACCTGTAGAGAACAATGACACACTCTTCACTCTCTCAGATCAGATCAGTTTAGCTGAGAATCCAATATTAATAAAAATAAAGTACAAACACAAAACACAAATAAACATGTTTGATGGATCATTGGACTGAGATCTAAAATGTCACAGAAAAAAAAAAAAGAGCCTCATTTAGGAAAGATAAATAAAATTACTTTGTTGCACAATGTCAGAGGTTTAAAGGGGTCATGAACTGAGAAACCAAAATTCCCTTGATCTTTTGACATAAGAGGACATTGTACTATAAAAACATCCTGTAAGTTTCAGAACTCAAAACTTTGTCGTTAGTCTAAAAACAGCTTTTATTGAAGCCAGTCTGACAAAACCGCAGCTTGAGGAATGTTCTCGTCTATGATGTAATAGTGTGGATAAGCTCCGCCTCCACAGAAGAAGATTGACATTGCTGCCTATTTAGCCCCGCCCACCGATTCACACATACAGTGTTTACGAGAGAGACAAACATGCAGGTCTATGCAGAAACCCAACGATAAAGATGCTCTGAAGACAAGAAGATGCTGTTCAGTGCCAAGCTGTGGAAAAACAGTCTTTGTATTGCCTTCCTTCTGATCCAAATGTTAGGAAGGAGTGAATTAACTTTATTTTTAATGAAGATCCAGACCGCGTCAGTAAGAAATCTGTCTTTTCTTCACTTCATTTTACCGCAGATTCGTTTACAAACAAGGCACAATTTGACGCAGGATTTTCAGAAAGATTGAAACTAAAAGACGATGTTGTGCCGACTATATTGGATCTGATGTGGCACCACACAAGTGTGAGTAACTATTTTTATTATGTGATCACTATTGCTTTGTCTCTTCTTATAGATAATTTGATATGCATTGAGTTATTTATGTGTTTTTGACCTAAATCACAGCAGCGTCCATCTGTGAAGGATGAAGACTGTCAAACACACAACTATCAGCCAATCACAGCAGTGTGTGTTTACTTCTGAGTCTACAATCCTCCACATCTATTCAAACAGAGCATTCTGATGAGGGGGTCAAAAACAGGACAGAAAATAACTTATTACTTCTAAATTATGATGTTTTTTCATGTAAAATCTTGACAACATTATAAGTGGACCTCAGAGAACAGTACAAAATAAAAAAACAGGCAGTTCATGACTCCTTTAAAAATTACAATCACTTACATTTCTTTTTTGGTAAAGACATTTTTAATTATTGACCAACCCAAATAATTTTTTCATCTGCCATTTCTCTGTCTATGAATCTTACAGTGTCACTGATTTGATATAAAACACATCAAAATACTGACGACTAAACTCTGGACAACATCCACTGAAGATTTATGAGCTTTTAATTTTTTTTTTCTTAATGTTTTAACAGTAAAGTGATTGTTCTCAGTGATACTTACTGAACTGATCTGGATTCTTTAATCACAGGCAGCAGCTTCTGAAGAACTTCCATATTTTCAGGCTCATTCTTTCCTTTAATAAATTTATCAAGACAAAACTCATTCAGTTCCTCTTCTGATGTCAACAACACAAAAACTACAGCTGACCACTGAGATGAAGAGAGTTTGGCTTCCTTTATTCTTCCAGATTTCAGATACTGTTGTATTTCCTCCACTAGTGAATGATCACCCAGTTCATTCAGACAGTGGAACAGATTGATGGATTTCTCTGGAGAGTCAATGGTCCTGATCTTCTTCTTGATGTACTCAACTGTTTCCTCATTGCTGTCAGAGCTGCTTCTTTTCAGTGTCATTATTTGTCGTAGGAGAATCTGATGAGACTCCACTGACAAACCCAGAAGGAACCGCAGGAAAAGATCCAGATGTCCATTTTTACTCTGTAGAGCCTCATCCACAGCTCTCTGATGCAGCTCAGATAATGAAACATGTTCTGATGAATTGAGATGAAACCAGTCCTTCACTTTAAACCACAAACTCTGTTTGGTGACTGGCTCAAACACATTTATTTTGTTGTTTGTACAGGAGAGGTGCACATATAGAGCTGCTAGATGCTCCTGAATGCTCAGATGAACAAAGCAGAAGACTTTCCCCTGATACAAGCCAAACTCCTCTCTGAAGATCTGAGTGCACAATCCTGAGTACACTGATGCTTCTGTCACATCAATGCCACACTCTCTCAGGTCTTCCTCATAGAAGATCAGGTTGCCTTTCACAAGCTGCTGAAAAGCCACTTTCCCCAGTTTGAGGATCATGTCTTCATCTGTCACCTTCTTCTCATAGTCCTTCTCACGTCTGATGTTGGTCTGAAGGATCAGGAAGTGTGTGTACATTTGAGTGAGTGTCTTGGGAATTTCTCCACTCTCTGCTGAATGGACATACTCAGAGGGGACGAGATCAGCTGCTGCTGGTCTGGAGGTGATCCAGATGAGAGCAGAGGGAAGCAGATTCCCCTCAATGAGGTTCTTCAGCAGCACGTCCACTGAGGCTGATTCAGATATATTACACAGTTTCACATTGCTCTTAAAGTCCAGAGACAGACGACACTCATCCAGACCATCAAAGATGAACAACAATTTATATTCATCACTGGATATTTCCATTTCTTTAGTTTCAGGGGAAAAGACATGAAGAAGATCTGAAAGACTGAGTGTTTTGTCCTTCATCAGGTTGATTTCTCTGAACGGAAGTGGAAATATGAGCTGTACATCCTGATTCTCTTTCCCTTCAGCCCAGTCCAGGATGAACTTCTGGACAGAGACTGTTTTTCCAATGCCAGCGACTCCCTTTGTCAGCACAGTTCTGATGGCTTTGTCTTGTCCAGGTAAAGCTCTAAAGATGTCACTGCATTTGATGGCTGTGTCCTCTGTTGCTGCTCTCCTGGATTGTGTCTCAATCTGTCTCACCTCATGCTCATTACTGATCTCTCCACTCTCACTCTCTGTGATGTAGAGCTCTGTGTAGATCTCATTCAGGAGTGTTGGGTTTCCCTGCGTCGCTATTCCCTCATACAGACGACCAAACTTCTTCATCAGATTTGATCTAAAGGTGTTGAGGACTTCATGCCTGGAAAATTAAAATACTACATTATTAAATAAGCTAATGAGCACAGTGTCTTTTATATATTTTGTATCGTAATCAAATAATATTTTACAGAAATATTAGACTTGAGATCAGTCTTTGTATCTTCACTATAAATATATATATTTACGATTTTTAATAACTGTATTTTAATACTGTCATGAATCCGGTCCGTGGACTTCCATCTGATCGCCACCAGAGGTCACTCGTCCATCATATTGACTCTCTCACTGCACTGACTGTTGCACGTCACCACGGACTACATTTCCCATGCACCATTTCACTAATCACACACTCACCTGAGACCAATCACACACACTACATAACACCCACTCAGTTCCTGCTCTGATCGCCGAGTATTGTTCTGCGTTTAGCACTCCTCTAAGTGTTAGCTGCTTTACCGAGCCATTCCGTGTTTCTGTTTAGTCTCTAGTATTGTTTAGCATTTATCTCTCCTCTAGCGATAGCTACATTACTGAGCCATTCATTTTCCCATTTTTAGTTTTAGTCTTAGGCAGAAGGTCAGGAAACAGACAACAAGGCAACACGGAAAGACTAGACTGTGTTTATTGGATTAGCCCTCTTGTCAAGCCCTCTGGATACTGTTCGCCGATCGTAGACCCATGCTAGGCCAAGGAATATTCTTTGTCTTGCCTGTGCCATACCTGTTTGCTGTTGTTCGACCCTGCCTCTGTTTTTTGACCACGTCTCTTGTGAATAAAAGCTTGCACATGGATCCGCATGCCTCTCGTCTCGTCAGCCCCGTTACAAATACATTTTAAAATATAATTTCATTCTGTGATGCGCAGCTGAATTTTCAGCATCATTACTCCAGTCTTCAGTGTCACATGATCTTCAGAAATCATTCTAATATGCTGATTTGCCGCTAATGAAAGTATTAATTTCTTTCCTTCAAAAAACAAAACCAAAAAATCTTACTGACCCCAAACGTTTGAACGGTAGTGTATATATTATACATTAATATTATATATTAACAGAACACTGACACTGACTCACTAAATTAACTGCAAAACCTGTTAATCATTCAACGCTCCTAAAATATGTTTTAAAATGCAAGACTGCATTAAAATCCTGTATTTAGTACATAGAAATTATTGAGAGAAAATTGTACAACTACTGGGAAAAAAATCACATTATATTAAACGAAGGTATGGCAATTTCTTCTGTATTCATATAAAAACTACTCACATTATGCATTCAAACACATTCATTGACTTACATCGAAAAACTGAAATCAGCTGCTGCATCGATCATTTGAAAAATCATATTCATTAAATATTCAAAAGGTGATAAGCAGTGTTGAGGAAGCTACAAACAGCATAATGTAAAGTACTGTGATTGTCAGGGTAATGAACCTATGAATGGCTTAGTTGTTGACACTTACAATCTAATGGCTGATTCGTAGAAGCGTAGACTTTGTAGAAAATATAAATTTTGAGAATATAAAAAGACACGCTATAATAATATTTATATAAAAATGTACCCGAGATCAGTCTTTGTATCTCCACTCTTAAACTCTATTGGACGATCCATAGATGTGTCACTCCTCACAGACACACAGCTGGACTCTGCTTCTGATCTCTTCTGCTGAACTGAACTATAACAGAGAGAGATTAAAGTCAATCCTTTGAATTACCATATTTAACTAAGTACATCGTCATGCTATTTAAACAATAACTTTAAAAAGCACTTCAGGATCATTTCATTTACACTATTTTATTACAAAAGAGGTTAAATGGAACTGAGTGCTTTCACAAATGCATCTCTCTGTGTAACACTATATGTTAAAATATCAGATAAATATAAAGAAAATTCCTATTAGCAATGTACAAGAAACATTTCTCATATATTGTAGAAAATATACATTTTGAGAATATAAAATGACATGCTATAATTTACATTTAGTCATTTAGCAGACGCTTTCATCCAAAGCTATTTACAAATGAGGACAATAGAAGCAATCAAATCTAACAAAAGAGCAATAATAAGTGCTGTGATAAGTCTCAGTTAGCCTAACACAGTACACAGAGCAAGGTTTTTTGTTTTGTTTTGTTTTTTTATAATAGATGGAAACATGTAAATAGAATAGAAAAATAATAGAAAACATCAGTGTTAGAGGGTCTCTTTTTTGTAATAAATAAAAAGAAAACAAGTAGATAGATTGGAAAAAGAATTGAGAATGTTAGTGTTAGAGGATAATTTTTACATAAAAAGAAAACAAGTACATAGAATTGAATAAGAATAGAGAATACTAGTGTTAGAGGATCTATTTTTAAAATAAAAAGAAAGCAAGTATTGTAAAGAGTGCAAGTGTTAAATGAGCAAGTGTGTTTTTTATAAACAAAATAGAAAATGAGTAGATAGAATAAAAATAGAATAGAGAGTGCAAGAGTTAGAGGGTCAAATAAAGATGGAAGAGATGTGTTTTTAGCCGGTTCTTGAAGATGGTTAAGGACTCAGCTGCTGGGATTGAGTTGGGCAGGTCATTCCACCAGGAGGGAACAGGTAATGAAAAAGTCAGTGAAAGAGATTCTGTGCCTCTTTGGGATCATGGCACAATAAAGCGACGTTCACTTGCAGATCACAAGCTTCTAGAGGGCACATAAATCTGAAGTAATGCATTTAGGTAAAGGGGTGCAGAGCCAGTGGTGGTTTTGAAGGCAAATATTAATGCCTTGAATTTAATGCGAGCAGCTAATGTTAGCCAGTGCAAATTGATAAACAGAGGTGTGACATGCATTATTCTTGGCTCATTAGAGATTAATCATGCTGCCGTGTTCTGGATTAATTGTAAAGGTTTGATAGAACTGGCTGGAAGACCTGCCAAGAGAGCATTGCAATAGTCCAGCCTGGACAGAATAAGAGCTTGAACAAGGAGTTGTGAAGCATGTTCTGAAAGAAAGGGCCTGATCTTCCTAATGTAATAATTATAATAATATTTATATAAAACTTTACCCGAGATCAGTCTTTTTATCTCCACTCTTAAACACTATTGGATGATCCATAGACCAATCACTCCTCACAGACACACAGCTGGACTCTGCTTCTGATCTCTTCTGCTGAACTGAACTATAACAGAGAGAGATTAAAGTCAATCCTTTGAATTACCATATTTAACTAAGTACATACTCATATATTATTCAAACAATCACTTTAAAAAGCACTTCAGGATCATTTAATTTACAGTATTTTATTACAAAAGACGTTAAATAGAACTGAGTGCTTTCACAAATGCATCTCTCTGTGTAACACTATTATGTTAAAATATCAGATAAATATAAAAAAAACCCTATTAGCAATGTACAAGAAAAATATACATTTTGAGAATATAAAATGACATGCTATAATAATATTTATATAAAAATGTACCTGAGATCAGTCTGTGTCTCTCCACTCTTAAACTCTTGTGGATGATCCATAGACTCCTCACTCCTCACAGACACACAGCTGGACTCTGCTTCTGATCTCTTCTGATGAAATGAACTGTAACAAAACAGATTTAATCCTTTACGATGATAACCATTTTCTTCTAAAGTATTTTGTTTCATCAAAAACTCTCCATGAGGAGCAGGGCGGATTAAGGTGGTCAGGGGCCCCTAGGCTGCTCTTTGTGTGAGGCCCCCCCTTAATCATTATGCTTTACTGGAGAAATGTATTTAGTGTCATACATGGTCCACACGCAAGTAAGGTGAACTGGCACACACACACACATTGAGACAGCCAGTGTCCCCACAGGATTTTGACAGGACTGTGGTGGGTGCACATTGGTTCCTCTAGGGCAGGGGTCTGCAACCTTCAAGATCAAAAGAGACATTTTGGCCCATTTCTCACCGAATAAAATTCACGTGGAGCCACAAAACCTATTTGATCCCTAAAATGAAGATAACATGGCATATAGCTAAACTTTTAGATTCAGTTATGTTACAGGGCAGGGGCTTAGCAATCATTTCAGAAGTGCGGGGGACAGAAATGTCAAATGTGATAGTAATAATAATAATAATAATTATTATTATTATTATTATTATTATCATTATTATTATTATTGATATTATATGTTTGTATGTCTAATTGACAAAAATAACTTTCTTATCTTTTTTAATTGGCTAAGAAATAAAATACACTGCTGGACAATAACCAGCATAATAAATAATTTGTATAATATTTTTGATATTTTCCTAATGACAATTTTATGATTGGTTTATATAAGTTACTACAAACACTTTTTCCATTTTTATCACAGAATAAGGCAGAAAATATATTTGATAACTTTTGTACTGTAATAATAAATGCTATGTCAATTAGCATTGTATCATTCATATACATTATGTATTACCTGAAGATGACTTGAAAAACACACATAAACCATATATTGTCGCAATATTGTTTGTCTTCACGTTTCATCAGTTAAGGTTTATGTTTTGCACATCAAGGGGAAGTCATGGCCTAATGGTTAGAGAGTCGGCCTTGTACCCAAAGGTTGTGGGTTCAAGTCTCATACTGGCAGGGATTGTAGATGGGGGGAGTGAATGTACAGCGCTCTCTCCTACCTTCTATATTTCAATACCACGATTGGGGTGCCCTTGAGCAAGGCACTGAATCCCAACTGCTCCCTGGGCACAGCAGCAAAAAAAATGGCTGTGTGTTCATGGCACATTGAACATGGGTTCAACATGGCACATGTGTGCACTTTGGATGGGATAAATGCAGAGCACTAATTCCAAGTATGGGTCACCATATGTGGCCACAGGGTTATGCCGGTATCAAATTTTCATGTTGCTTTTGTCACGGTATACGGTATTATCACGATATTGAAATTTAGTTTAAAAAAAAAAGGGCTGTCATAATACAGTATAACAGGTTTA